GGCCGACCGACCCCAATCAACAACACAAAGCAGGGAAACGGCCGAAGGGGGGAAGGGGGAGGAACTGAACCTCAGCTCCGACCAGCACTGAGAAAGGAGTCAGATCTCGCCGCACATCCCCAACTCGACGCCTATGGAACCACTCGATAGCAAAGGTAACCGTGAAGACGGCGAACCCTACGCCTGGCAGGGACCTCAACGCCTAGGGGGACCAGCTTTGCGGACCGAAGACGGCCTGCACCAAGCGGGCAGAGAGCCCGAAAGGAAGGAGGCGGCTTTCTGATTTGGGAGAAATCACACAGGATGCTATAAGTACATAATACTATACATAGAGGTGTATATAACACTCACATTAAGTGAGTCCTACCAAAATTAAAAATCAAGTGGACCTCACTCTATGTGAGTGTTATGTACACCTCTATGTACATTTATTATGTACATGTAGCATTTTTTTTTTCTAAAATAGTTGAATATAATTTCAAAAAAATAAACCTGTTAGCAGAGTGTTGTATATAAAAGTAAAAATAGTGAAAAAAAACACGTTACATGTACAAATAAGCGAGGTATGCAGAAAATATCAACTCGAATACACGCAACAAACAAGTGAGATGTGGAAAAAAAATAAAGAAATTTAACATCGAAGTCACATTTATAAATGTACATCTAATCCGATAATTTGTCTAAGGAAACAAATAAATTAAATAAAATATGAAGACAATCTTATCTTGTGTAAATCAAATATAACAAGCGTAATGTACTCCTATTTGTACACCCTAATTAGAGATGTTAAATGGTCCCGTTTAGCCCGTAAAAAAACAGGGTTAGGGCCTTTTATTGGCAGTCCGTTTAAATCTGGACTTTTTAGACCCGGACCGTTTAGCCCGAAGCCTGCCAGGGCTAGCCCGAAAACCGCTAGGGCTAGCCCGTTTAACTTGGGTTGGGTGGTGTATATTGTTTTTAGAAAGATAAGAAATATGTCCATTGATTCCTTGTATATTACAATTTTGTTATTCTACTTCACATGTAATTATGAGTTATAATGTATTATTATTTTGATAGATAATTATTAACAAATATAATTCTATTTAACAGCAAAATATTTAAGCCAATCAAAGGGTTTATTGCACCAAATCCCCCTGTATTATATGAAATCTGCGCGTTTTACCCTGCTATTTCAAAAATTGCGTCAAACCCCCTTGTATTTAATGTTTACATGCAGACTCGCCCCTTTATGTTAACACCGTTACGTTAATACTAACGGCGTTACTTTTTTGTTTAATTTACCATTATACCCTTACTTTATCAATGAATTTACGATTATACCCTGCTATATGTAAACTTAAAATTAAAACCTCAAAGGTGGGGATTGAATCATGTACCTTTGGGTTGAAAAAAGCATCTCCCACCAACTGAGCTACTTGACATGTAGTTATAAATGTAATTCTAGTTATATATATCTTAACGTATAGAAAATATATAATAACAATTAATTATAAATAATGTATTAATTAAATATGTAGATCTAAGTTATTAATAATATATTGATTAAGTATATATATATATAATTAATTTTAAATAATGTAATAGTTAAGAAATATTTTCTATCTTATAAATAATATAATAATTATGTAATTCGATTATAAATTACTAATATTTAATAATTAAATTAATATATTCTAAATTATAAATAATATAATAATTGAATAAATATATTCTAAATTACTAATATATAATAATTAAATATATTTTTTTAAATTATAAATATTCTAAATTATAAATGATATAATAATTAATAAAATAGATTATAAATTTTCAAATAAAATAATAATTTAATAAACAAATTCTAAATTATAAATAATATAATAATTGAATAAATATATTCTAAATTACTAATATATAATAATTAAATATATTTAAAACCACCACCCGCGGCACACCGTGGACCTCATGAAGCGAGTCTATCCTGTACCGCTTTGACCCAGAAACCACGTATGGGTCCTCTCGTTTTAAATTATAAATATTCTAAATTATAAATGATATAATAATTAATAAAATAGATTATAAATTTTCAAATAATATAATAATTTAATAAACAAATTCTAAATTATAAATAATATAATAATTGAATAAATATATTCTAAATTACTAATATATAATAATTAAATATATTTAAAACCACCACCCGCGGCACACCGTGGACCTCATGAAGCGAGTCTATCCTGTACCGCTTTGACCCAGAAACCACGTATGGGTCCTCTCGTTTTAAATTATAAATATTCTAAATTATAAATGATATAATAATTAATAAAATAGATTATAAATTTTCAAATAATATAATAATTTAATAAACAAATTCTAAATTATAAATAATATAACAATTAAGAAAAAATATTCTAAAAAATAAATAATATAATGATAGATATAAATTATAAGTAATATAATAATTCAATATATATATATATATATTATAATAATTGAATAAATAGATTCTTAATTATAAATAATATATTAGAATCTATTTACTCAATTATTATAAAATATAAATATTGAATTATTATTTTACTTATAATTTATAATATCGTTAAATTATGTATATTTAAGTAATTATATTCTAACTTATAAATATTTATAAATATTTATATTTAAGTAATTATGTATATTAATTGAATAAACTTATAAATATTTATATTAAGTAAATCTATATATTTATAAAAGATTTTAAAAAATATTAAATAGTATAAAAATAATTAAAATAAATAAATACAAATCATATATAGCTATTTAATAAAAAATATTTTATTTTCGAAATTATACTTTAATAATATATTATATATATAAGTATCATTTAATTTTATTACAAATTTAATTTAATTTAATTTATCATTTAATTTTATTATAAATTTAATTAATTTAATTAATCATTTAATTTTATTATAAATTATATTTAATATAATTTATACAGATTATATTACGTCAATTCATTAAAACGTATATTGAAATTTTATACTAAAATTTATTTTACATTTATATTATTAATTTATTAAAATGAAATTATCATTTTGTTTTTACATTAAATAGTAATATATTTATTAAGAGTCAATCATATTAAAATTATTTAATAAATAATATTTTTTATTATATTATATTATATTAATTTCAGTTCTTTATTTATTTAATTTATTATTTCATAATAAGATATTTGATTTATTATTTATTTTACATTATAATTTTTATACTTTATTATCTTATATAATTATTATTTTTATTTTTCTTTAATTAGTTTATTTTAATTTTATTTATTTATTAATTTCATTTTTGTATTTATTTTTCTCATTTAAAATTTACTTAATTATAACTTTATTTAATTTTAGTTCACGCTAATACATTAAATTTATCTTACTTTATTTTAATTTAATTTTTTTCATTATTTTAAGTTAATTTGATTTATTGGAAGTTATTAGTATTATTATTATTAATTATTATATTTATAGTAAATTGACATATTATCCTTTTATTTTATTTATTTACTTATTTTTAAACTATTTAATTTATTTCAGTGTGATGTATAGATATATTTATGTTCAATAGATTACACAACCATCCATATAGCCTAGTGGTTGAGTGGCCATTTCCTTCCTTTCCAACCCAGGTTCGAATCTTGTTGCCCACATTCCGCCATTTTGGGGTGAAATCATGAAGAAAAAGTCGCACAGCACGCGCGTGCACCCCACTTCCGTCATCTTAGACGGTTTAGGGTGTTTCGCGCATGCAAAACATTAATAGAAGGGGGTCTGACGCAATTTTTAAAATACAGGGGAGAAACGCGCAGATTTTGTATAATACAAGGGGGTACTGTATATTTTACCCGCCAATCAAAATGGCTAATAAAAAACAAATGAGACAAAGACCTAACACATAGAATACAGTGATAGAATATAAATTCAGCAATATGCTATATTTGAAAATTCTCGAAGCTTACCAAATAACTAGTCAAATGGTAGTTACAAGTAATAGTTCGAACATTTTTTCTTCTATTGAGAAACAATATGTTATTTAAAAGTTTGTAATGTGTGTTCATATATGAAGTGTAGTATAGTGATAAATACTAAATAGCCGTTGAAAAAAACCATTAACTAGGTGTGTAATTTATTATTATTATTATTATTATTATTATTATTATTATTATTATTATTATTATTATTATAGCCCGTTTAGCCCGAAGCCCGCTAAGTTTAGGATTAGGTCTTTTTATTGGTAGCCCGTTTAAATCCGAGCTTTTTAGGCCTGGACCGTTTAGACCGAAGCCCGCTACGGCTAGCCCGAAACCGCTAGGACTAGCCCGTTTAACATCTCTAACCCTAATCCTTAAACAAACAAACTCTAACACGAAGTGCATAATATTGAATTCTTATCAGCCTCAACTTTTATTTATTTATTTATTTTCTTAAACCCGTTGAAGATTTATGCTTGATAGGGTGAAGTAGTCGAGCCGAGCTCGACTTCTGATATTTGAGCCTTTAATATTATTAAGTCGAATCCAACTTGACTCGTAATAGCTAACGATTTAACAAATGAACTAAGTTCGTTATCAATATTTACAAGTTGAGCGAGTTCTAACAAACTGAATTAAACGAGTCAAGATATATATATATATATATACATATATAATATTCTCGAGCCTTAACCAAAATAAGATAGCTCAACTGGTTTATTAATCAAGTTGTGTCAAGCTCAAGTGTCAATCAGCTGAGCTCACGAGCCACTCGTTTCGTTTAATAGCTGTCCAAACGGGTGGGCAAACTATATGAGCTCCAAACACATCCTTATTTGGGCCTGAGGCCCACTATACAAAAGAGCGAAATATAAAAATCAAATATTGGCTAATGGGTTCCTAATTCACTGACGCGGACCCATCAATATTTGGGCCTGTCCTGGTAGTTATCCACTCCAATGACTATTTAGTAAAAGTGACCCAGGTCCAGAACCAGGCCCAGGCTCTGGCGCATCAATGACAACTGAATTACTTTTATTACTCCCCATAGTCCATAGCTCGTTCATTCTGAAACTAGGGTTTTGTGCAGACCTCAGCCGCATCTCCACCGCGAGCCTCAGTCTCCGTTCTTAGCTTTTCCGATCTCAGCAGCCATGGGGTATGCATTCGAATCTTCTCTTGCATTTCGTTCGAACCTACGAATCTCAAAAATCTATTGTTATTCCATGAATTTCTGTTACTTATGTCGAATTTTTGAGATTTTGATTGGATTTATTAAGCTGTTGTCATGGATTTGAGTGCCGATTGTTTTGGTTCGTAGACTGTTAGCTATTCAGTCTCGTACATATGTGTGTTTTGGTCTGGAATGTATTTTCCGATGACCGATAACCTCGGAAAATTGGTAACAAAATGATTGAACTTTTGAAACTTATAATCTGCAGTAATTTCTGTTTTTAGAGCTGTATGAGCTGAATTTACTCATGAGAAGTACCGTCTTTTCGCCCATTTTTTCTCGCTTGTGCATTGTGTAATGTGGTGGGGTGATCTCGAAAATTAAAAATTCCTACTTTTTAGATGCATATTTGCTAGGTAGGTTAGGTGAAGATATGTGGTGGTGACTTGGATTTTTGATTGCTGGTATTATATTATGTTACATCAAATCATTTATGCACCAGATGTTGGAGTTACATTTGGCTGTTGATTGAAGTCTTTGCTTGATGTGAATCGTTATATATAACCTTGTAGTTTTATCTAGTAAATGTAGAGTGTCCTGTTAAATATAAACTGTGTATCTGAAGCTCATTAGGGGTTTAAGTTTGAAGAATGTGATATTCAGAATTCCTTGTAACTTTTGTCTCCTCCAATACAGTATGATGATAATGTATATAGAATTTTCTTGCATATGCTTGTTAAAAGGGCTTCACTGGTAAACGATTATCGATGATAACTTTTGTTTTTCATTGTTGCTATTTTTGCAGGAAGACACGTGGTATGGGAGCTGGTCGCAAGCTGAAGTCCCACCGGATAAGGCAAAGGTGGGCTGACAAGGCTTACAAGAAATCTCACCTCGGCAACGAGTGGAAGAAACCATTTGCTGGCTCGTCTCACGCCAAAGGCATCGTGCTCGAGAAAATGTCAGACCCCTCTCAACTTTGGTTCACATTTACATTATGATCTCTTTTGTTCAATTTAGACTCATGCATTCTTTCATTTACATCATTTTGCAGAGGCATTGAAGCTAAGCAGCCAAACTCTGCCATTCGTAAGTGTGCCAGGGTTCAGCTGATTAAGAATGGAAAGAAGATTGCTGCTTTCGTCCCTAATGATGGTTGCTTGAATTACATTGAAGAAAACGTGAGCTCCCATTATTCATCTAGCAATAGCGATTCTTCTTTTGCAGAATGTACTCATTTTCTCTTTTTCTATTAATTAATTAGTTAACTTGATTGTTTATCTAATTTTGGTGTAGGATGAGGTGTTGATTGCTGGATTTGGACGGAAGGGACATGCAGTGGGAGATATTCCCGGTGTTCGGTTTAAGGTGGTGAAGGTTTCGGGTGTTTCACTTCTGGCTCTTTTCAAGGAGAAAAAAGAAAAGCCTAGGTCTTAAGTCACCTGTCTCGATTTTCCTTTTTCAAGTGGTTGCTCGAAGTTTTGGATGAAACCTTTGATATCTTAAGTTTCATTAAACGAACATACTTTTCCTCTTCAAAATCTCAAACACGATTCTCTTATATGGCTGTGCTATTGATGAATTAATGTAGTATTTATGTGCTTGGAATTTTCAGGGTTTTGTTATCTACAACTAATGGAGCACTTGAATTTCATTTCAATATCCAGTTTCAGTTTTCAAACTAATTGCTTCTGAATTTTTGGTATTTAATAATAATTCAATTATTTGAAACTTGTTGAATGTTAGCAGGCGTAAATTTATTGGATTGAACCTCACTAATTTGACAGTCAAATTTTGTTTGGCGAAAAGCTTATTCCATTGCTGATTATTAAAAATAGAAAAAAAAAAATTGGAGCNACAATGAAGGAGGCCTGAAGCCTAGACTAAGATGTAAAATTATGGTTCAACTAGGTTCAAATATTTCAAATATTTTACGAATGTAAAAAATATTCCGTAGTGTCAATAATTTCGTCCTCTCCACTAATGACTTATGAAAAGTGTAAAATTAACACTCAATTTATCCGATATGCTATTTTGAAAAAAAGTTGATTGAAACTTCACAAGTTATATATAGTAGTTGAAAAGTGTAAAATTAACACTCAATTTATCCGATATGCTATTTTGCAATGTTCTGAAAACCGGACCTGTCATCGAACCGGTCAACCTACTGGTTCAATGGTTCACTGGTCCGACCAGTAGTTGAACCGGTTGGACCGTTATTTAATTTATTGATATTTTTAAATATATATATAATATTTCATAAATATAATTAACATAATTTTAAGTTATTTAATTTATTGATGTTTTAAAATATATAATATTATAAATATTAAATATAGTTTACTTATTTTTTAAAAGATTGGTCCAATCATATATAAATTAAACAATAAAATAATAAGATAAAAATGTGAAAAAAGAAAATTTTCTTCCACTCCCATGTTAAATCAATAAAATAATAAGATACAACACAAAATTACACTCACGCTTGACAAGGCATAGCAGTGGTAATTTACTACCCACTTGTCCCACATCGGTCAAGCAAATAAGATAGTTGCATTATATATCTCTTAGAATCTATTAGCTCAGCATATCAAAAAAACTGACTGGTTGAACCGTTTCGGTTTCTGGCCGGTATTGACCGGTTGAACCAGATATTGACCGGTTTTATAGAGAACCGAACCGTTGAACTGACTGGTTCCCGGTCGAACCGGCCGGTTTGGTCCGGTTTTCAGAACACTGCTATTTTGAAGAAAAAGTTAATTGAAACTTCACAAGTTTTATATAGTAGATAGCAGAAATTCTATTGAATGGCTCCCTGGAACAACCCATAATTTCCAATATTACGTAAAACAAACAAAATTTTCGCAACCATAATCACGAACAAGCCAGATAGAATCTTAAGCTCAAATGTCCATATTCAGCTTACACATTTGAGAAGACTCGTCACAATCGATTTCTAAAGTACAATTTCAGTAAAACATATCCTGAAAATACAAGTATTTAACATTAAGTTGAAAATCCACCAATCCTGTCTTCTTTTTCCCTCACCACATAGCACTATAATAAGCCACCAAACTGAAGCTCCAACTGATCTTGATTAGCCAACCTACACAAATACTCGAAAGCAAACCGAAACCAAACTCCTCATACTTAGCTGTTCTCTTTCTGCTCAAAGTTGGGCAAAATAAATCCCGACTTTTCCACAACCGACTCTTTCGCCACATCAACACTCTCACTGCTGACGAAAGAATTCTTGGGAGCTAAAGGGACTCTGCACGTTTCAGACTCGGAGATAATCACCGCATTTTCTGATGCATCACTTGATAAATGTTCATCTTTCGAGCCCTTGAGATCGTTCTCTTTAGCTACCAAGTCACCAGCTTCGATTTTCGTGCCACCTAAACTCTCCTCGATAATGGCATTACCTGTATTTGCAAATACTTGCTCAACTCGATCTTTGTTCTGAGTAATTTTGGGGTCTTGACAAGTTTCTTCAGATGCGATGTTAACTTTAACCCCAACAGACGAGTTTGGAGAATTTTTCACGTCTGTCGATTTTTTGTCAGGAGAGGGTGCAGGTGATATGGGCTTTTTAAGAGTAACTATTTTAGGTGTCGAGATCTTAGCAGTCTTGAGTTTGCTGTAAGAGCTTCTAACTGGAACACCTGTTGAAGGTCCATTCCTGGGGAGCTTGTTGTTCACAGCAGATGGAGACTGTTGAAGCCTATTAGGAGAGTTCACAGATGACTTCACCTGAAAGACGGTTACAACAGTTTTAAAAATAGAGCTCGGGACTTGTTATAAAAAGATAGACTGGAACCTCGATGATTATTTTTGTGACGAAAAATCAATGATGCCTTCTATGCAAATCACATTAACAGGCAATAATAAAAATAGTTATCTAAACAAGAATCATCCTTAAAAAATGAAAATTCCATTTGAGAATTTCATCATCTGTGTAACTTAAAAATAGATCAAGCCAGAGACTGAAAACTAACCCCGTCAAAAAACCCAAACTTGTGGGACGGCATTCGCAATCCTGATGGCTTCCCAGGAGCACGAAGTTTGTCGCCATTTTGTGTTGTCGATTTTTTTGAATTGTCACTTGTTAAAATAGCCCCATCAGCAGTTTGACCCACTGAAGGGTTTGTAGTATCCAAAGGAATTAAATCGTCATCCGCAGACCTACAAGAACTGGTATCTATACTGTTTCTGGAGTTACTGAACTTTTGGTTGATCATTGAAGATGATGTTGACGATGCCGAAGACCACTCACCAATCGAACTAGCTGGTGAGACACTCGAGCAGATCTTGGATAATGAGGAAGGCAATTTGTTTTTTGAAATAACTCTTGAAGGAGTTTTAGGGATGGAACCAGAAGGACCAGTGTTGATGTTGCTGGTTTTACCCATATTCCTTCTCGGTGGCATTATATTAGATTTGGCAGGATTTATTTTTGACGAGATGTTACTTGAACCGTCGCTTGAGGTGGAGGACCTTCTCGACTGAACAGAATTTGTTGTTGAAGAAGACAACAGAGAACTACTTGATGACGGTGCAGGCTTAGGCAATGCTCTTCTAGCCCCAAGTGAGGATATTTTCGGTGGTTGAGTCTCTTGACAGGGAACAGCTGCTGTCAAGTAAATGACAGAATGAGTTACTGATATAGTGATATGATATATGAATTGAGATGGATAAAGAAAATTAAGGATTTTAAAAAGTTTAATGGGGTTTGAGATTCCACTTTTGGCACGACCAGTTCCAACAGAATCCCGCTTTCCTGCTACTGTTGATGAGGGGATGGAGCTGCTAATAGTCTTGGGTGGTTTAGGAAGGCTCATGAAACTTTTCCCTCCAATCTTAGCCATAGACATCTATAAGAAAAAAAAAAAGTTGGTGTCATTCTATGAGAAACAAAAATGGATCATCTAAAAAATTACAAACGTTTCAAGTAACCATACATTGATTACAAAGAAAACTGACAGTTGTGCTTGAAATACAAAATGTGTTAATTTAACCTAAAGATCATATTTAACTTCATATTAAGTCAATAAAATCATGGCGGCCAGGACAGGCCTGATTTATGATTTTTGATAACCAACATGCTATTTATATGACGTAGAAAGACACCGCAGAAAAGAAGCAACTCTAACTTTAATGAACTTTGAGCAATATTCTCCATTTAATATTGCAACTATGGAATGATAATGGGGCAGTACCCAAAGATTCCCGTATATTTTAAAATCATGAGTCCAATAGATATAGTTTGGAAGGATAGAGGGTTTCAAAGCAAATGCATGCCTGTTTCGCCTGTGAGTGGACAGAATCTTGCTTGGTCGCTTTCCCTATTGCTAACTTCCCAATACTTTCTTTTGGCTGACGTATAGATGTCCTAACAGTTTGCAAGCTATCCTTTTTCTTTACACTTGGTTTTTGGCTCTGCAGAATAAGAATTAAAATTAGAATCAGTAGTTAAAACAAATCATAACCTCAATCATCAGTTACGGCACCTACCATATTTCCTGAGATAGTGTCTTCCTTCTTCAGAGCTGAATATGAACACAAATATTAGTTCAAGAATAAAAAAACAGGTCAATTAAATAGAAACGAAAACTCCAACGCGTGAAAAGTTAATACAGGCATCAGTCATGTATAGTTTCCTAGAGATGACTATGGAAAAGGAAAACGGATACTAAGAACGAAAGCTGCATTACCACCTTGGACTGAATGTGGTGATATTTTATCCTGTTTCTATTTCATAAAACTAATGGAGTGAGCAATCTATGATCGCATTCCATTCATGATTTTCTAGTTTCTATATATGACTGAATTCATATCAAATTCCACTTTCCCCACATGCTGTGCATATTGTGCGATCACCAAATACAGCTTCAGGATAAGTTTTGATCAATTGTATGAATTGGACACAGCTATTCTAATTTCGCAAAATGTGTGTAATGAAAACTTTAGCTGAGTTAAATTCTGACAAGCAATCTATTCAAGAGGAAACAGATAGGATTATCAGTAGAAACACAATTAATATAATCTCACACGAGATAGAAATTGTTTACTTACATGAAATGGCTGCACTATCTACCTCCACAGCAGCTGCCTTGCTGCTTGAGATTCTCGAATTCAATGCCTTTTTACTGGATCTTTGGATGGAAGCTCTAATGTCCACAAACAAGTCCTCTTCAAGAGTTTCCATCGTCAAAGTGTCACTTCCGAGAGTGGAAAGCGACTCAGTTGACCCTGTAATTTCCTCTTGAATTCCAGGCAACATTTGCTTCTCTCCCTTATCTGCTCCTGTCATCATGGTTGACAATTCTTCTGCATCTAGTACTCCTAAAGTTTCAGAAAAATAAAATTAAAACCAGAAAAGAGAAGTTGATTCCTACTGAAGGATAATGCTGGGCCATGGAATCCAAAGTACCTGCACTAGTGAAAAATGCACTGTCCCAAGCTAAACTTTTACGCAGATTGTATCTCCCATTTTTTTGGTTTTCTTGAGGTTCTGTCGATTCACGCAGTTCGGGCAAGAGGTCGGTCTCTCTGATGAGAAGACTATCATCACCTTCTTTTTCAGTAATCAATCCTCCTGAATTTTCAAGGAGAAAAGATGACCAAAAAAAACTCTAGCAACAGTATGCAATAATGCAAACACAAACTCCATGATACTGAGGAAATTTAACTAAATAAAAATGAATGAGATAATACATCATCAGTCAAACTATATGAACATTGGTTTATCAATCACAGCTTTTTTTTTATTTTTTTTTTCTAATTTACGTTGAATGTTATGAGATTGGCACTGAGGGCTTTCACATCAACATTGGCATAAGATCAAGCTGACTAAAAAATCAAATGGTTTTCAAATCCATCAAGGGCTTTCACATCAAAATTCAACTTCTTAACCTAAACTACAAATTCGAAATCCCACTCGCAGATCCAAATTCCCATAAGAAAACAACAATTTAAGCAAAATCACAGCGTTTAGCCCAAAATGCATGCCAGGACACTCTCGTACAATATCATATGAACAGATTTGTGCACAGACGCAGCAAATATAAAGAAAAGCCGCGAGTAAAAAGAGGGAAAATAACCTGAAAACTGCTCGCCGTCAATGAGACCGTTGGCTTCGAATTCGAGATCGATCTTCTGGCACGCTTCCATTTCCATGTTTCTCCGATTAATTGAAAAAATCGAGCTTCGATTTGCAGTTTCGATTAACAGAGTGTTTGAGCAATGATAGATAGATAGTGTGTGGAGAGTAAAATGATTTTTGAACTGCACAAAAGGCGGTTTTTCTTAAAATTCAAACCAAACTAAAGGGAAAAAAATATAAATATAAAATAATAAATAAAAGGGTGTGTTTGGAATCTTTGAGGATGCAAAGTTAACAAAAAAGAAAATTTTCAGAAGTGAAAGAATGTTTGATGGCTTTGAAAATTACTTAACTTGATTGTAAATGTTTATTACTTATTGTTTAACAAGAATGATGTGCGGATTAAGATGGGTTAAAGGGAATTAATATGTTTTTAATATTATTATTTGTGGTTTAATTTTTCAAATATTGCAATAATATGTGGTACGAAATGACTCTCGACCGGCTCAGTTCGACCTCGATTTGTTTTTCTTGCTGGTGAACGACCTTCATAACCTGCAAAAACGCTACACCAGAGGAGTTTTTTTTGGTGAATAGCCTCCAATACTTAAGTTAACACAATGGAGGAGATGATGAACAATATGTAAGTGTATAGAGTGTGTCATATAACACTGGACGTACTTCACTCCCTTATATAAGGAGATGGTATTTTGTTCCCAAAGAATGCCAAAGTGGGCTGTCGAGACTGCCCGTTCGTACTGCTCGAATTGTCCAATTTGTTAGGCCATGTCGCTCCATCCACGTGTGGATCGTATTCTAATAATATTTCTTCTTATTCCTTAGTCTACTTGATGACAACGAGATTGCGTTTACCTACTTGGAGATGCGGGATCGTCGACGACATTAGCTTTATTTACTACTATCTTATTTATTTATTTTCCTATTTTATATTATTTAGTTTTGTAAGTGGATTAATATTATTATTTATTTCTAAGGAAATAAGTTAAGTGTTTAGGGATTAAAAGACTCTATATATTATCTCTTCCAATGAGGAGTCCATCGGTTTTGATTGAATTAAAATTACAGATTTATGAGATTTATCTCTTCTTCTTTTCCCTTCGTACGTTGCGCTACATCAGTTGGTATCAGTAGTGAGAACGATTCACGATGCTGCTGCGGAAAAACGATAACGACAGGTGTGACACCGCCATTGAGTTGTTGGTGATGCCCTTCGGCCTTTCGAACGCGCCTAGCACATTTATGCGCGTGATGAATCAAGCACTCTGCGACCTCATTGGGAAGTGTGTCGTTGTCTATTTCGACGACATACTTATTTCCAGTCGCAGCAAGGAGGAGCATTTGGAGCATGTGTGCTTGACTCTTCATATTTTGCGGGTCGAGTATTTCTATGCGTTGCCGCAAAAGTGTTTTTTCCTGGTAGATTCTGTTCTTTTTCTGGGCTTTGTTATTTCGGCAGATGGTAACTTTGTCGATGATAACAAAGCGGCGGCCATTCGGGATTGGCCTACTCCAACTTCCTTCAGGAGGCGCAAAGCTTCCATGGCCTTGCGTCCTTTTATCGACGTTTTATATCTCATTTTAGCTCACTCATGGCACCCATCACAGACTGTCTTACCAGCAAATCGTTCGTTTGGATGTCGTAGGCCGCCGAGGCATTTTCTCTTATCAAAAGTAAGTTAACGTCTCTCCCCGGTCCTGGTGTTACCCAATTTTTTGCGGCCTTCTCATGCGACACCTCAAAAGTTGGCATTGAGGCAATCTTGAGCCAGGATGCGCGGCCAGTCACTATTTTCATTGAGAAGTTGTCGAGCCCTCGGTTGCGCTACAACACTTATGATGTCGAGTTCTATGCGGTGGTTCATGTTGTGCATTATTGGCATCATTATCTCTTTCAGTGGGTGGGTGTTTGTTCTGTACACTGACCATGAGGTCTTGCATCACTTTGCTTCTCAGGACAATATCTTGGCTCGCCATGCCACTTGGACGAGGTACTTGGATCAGTTTACCTTCAATTTGAAGCACTGCTCGAGGGATTTTAATCTAGTGGTTGACGCATTGAGCCTTCGTTCTCTGTTGTTAACTGATATGTGGGACAAAATGTTCAAAAACAGTCCAATTTGCTGAGAAATGGCCCTTTCCCTTTATTATTAATTCTACAATGACTACATATATTTATAACTAGAATCATCAAATCTCACATTTTCTCATTTTTCTTTTCCTATTATTTAACTCTTCAATAGCTACATAAATCTATAACTAGAGGGTGCTGCTCGTTAATAAGAAGGGCTGATAAACGAGCTTTGTGCTCGTCTTGTTTACCAATAGTAACTTGTCAAGTTGGAGTCTTAATGAATTGAGTTATAGAAAATGATCGAGTCTTAACGACTCAAATAGCTCGATTCATTAACTAAACGAGCTTGAGCTCGGCTCATTATTGAATGGAGTTGAGCTCACAAATAAACAACTCGTTCAATTTAATATATAGCTCTATCTATAACTACTTATCATTATTTTAAATGTTTTCTTGCATCACAATTAATTATTACCCTTTATATTCAAATTATAAAAATCATCAATCCTTCAAATAAAATTTTTTCTCTAGCTAGCCAACATATTTACATCTCGTTAGATGAAGCAATATCCTAAGATTAGGGATTTTTTTTTTTTAGTTTATTTGGTACATTATTTCTGCAATTTAAGGGCGTTTATCTTGAGTCACTATTTTTTTTTTTCTTGAGTCAGTATAGTTGATTACTTGATTCCTCTACTTTGCAACAACATATAGTTTCACAGGAATCATTTACATCTTTGTTAGTTTTTCCCAAAATTAAATGAATTATAGTAGCACGGTGGCAAATCATTTCATCATTTCTTATGCATTGTGAAAATGTAAATTTGAACGAATTCCATTTAGCATTATCGTGAATTCTGCAATTGACTGGGCCGGCCTAGGATTTTATCAGCCCGTTCTTTGCTGGCTATTGGACTCTACACCTTCAATTTTTAATAAATTATTAGCATTATTACACTCGTGTATTATGTAGACTAGTGCGTGGCCCGTGCGATGCACGGAAAAACAATATTTTGATTGTATTATAAATTAAATAAATAAATAACATTAATCATGATTTACCCATTATTTTTAAATTAAACCGGATTGGACACAGTCCGACCGGAAGGACCGAGAACCGGTTTATAACCGGTCTATTGCGCTTGAATAAAATATTTGCTATCGAATTCCTCAACATCAGTATGTTGGACTGATAGGATCGATACGATTTTCTAAACAAATTTTGTTACATTAAAAATTGTTTTAAATAAAATTACATATTTAAATAAAATAGAGATTTATAAATTGTTTATCAATTAGTCTAAAAATTTAAATTTATAAATTGTTTAGATATTTAAGTAACACTTTTTATTTAAATTTATTACAAAAAGTATTATATATATATATATATATTTATATATATTTTATATATATATATATATTAAAGTATTATGTATTAAAATCTGAACAACCACAAATGATTTAATAAAATAACTTGACCGTTTCGATGACGTTCTGGTTCTGAAAACCTTATATTTACCGTACATTAATAAAAATGATAATAAAATAATTATTTTGTTCACATAAATAATAATAAAATGATATATAAATGTTCATAAATCATTAATCATGTTGTCGTAAAAGTATTGTTAATATGATTATTTGAAGTTTGGACTACATAATAAAGTATTTTCAATATTAAAATTTATATTTAAGTTCAATAATCGATTTGGTCTGGTCAAACTGATACATAACTTAGTTACCTGGGACCAACCAAGTTATGTCTAGTTTTTTGACTATTTTAAATATCACCTAAAAGTAATTCACAACGTGGGCAGTACCCTAATTCAATCACCCGATTGATCCAAAGTAATTTCATTATTTTCTTTAAATATAATATTTAATTTTATGAAATAAAAAAAATTTATGATTCATATGTCTACACCAAATGATATTATATTAAGATTATAAATTATATATCTAAAGATGAATTATTTATTTTTATTTTATGCATATTAATAAAAAATAAACATAGTAATTTAAAAAAAAAGTCAAGATTAATTGATTGAGTATATATATATATATAACATGATTGAATTTCTAGATTAGAATATATATATTTAAAATGATTTTATTATTAAAAGTCAAAAAGAAAAGATGCCATAAAGATTACAACTTTGAAAAGTTTGTAACCATTAATTTAGGAACCATCCGATTTTAAATGATTTATAATTTTTGAAACATGATACGTCATCTAAAACCCATTAATTTAGGAACCATCCAATTTTTTGATAATGAATTAAAATTAAAATATAAAATAAAAAAATTACTAAAAATAGTATATAATAAATGTGGGTTGACTTTTTATTACTACTATTTATGGTAAATGTTAATTCTTATTATACCGGCCCGCGTTCCCCTCGACCTGGTAGCAGAACAGCGCCTTCGGCCCAATGCGTGCGTGCGCAGCCCAAAATGCTCCCTAGAGGCCCATTTCGCGTGTGTTCTTTGGCCAAAATGGCGTGTGAGCAGCCCATTATCCGCGGAAGGCTTTTTGGAAGTGACCAGCGCGGCTCAGTTCGATTATTCAATCCATTTTGAGTTCCGGAAGCCCGTTTTTAATAGCGATTTCAAATTTTAAAACTATTTTCAAAATGAGAAAAATTTGAGAAAATTATTTTAAATCCCGAAACTCCATTTTTGTTCCCCGAGTCTTTTCTTTTAAAATTTGAGAGTTCCAAGTCCACGAAAAATCCGATAAAAATCCCTTAATCATTATTTTTGATTAAGCGTGACTTATATGTTAATTTCGAGTAGTGAGATAAAAATTAATGATTAAAATCTCACTTAAATGTAGGTGTTTGAGGAGTCGAGCCCTCGACCCACCGATCTATTGTGTCGATGTGAGCTGTACCGGCCGTCGAACGGTTGTCCCGTATTTATGAAATGAAAACCCGAGGGGTTACTCCTACTGACTGGGCATCGATAGAAGCCCATGGGGCATTCGATGTGTAAGACCGGAGGGCAGAGACGTAAAGCCCATGGGGCGTTCGATAGAAGCCCGTGGGGCATTTGATGCGTCTACCGGCAGTAGTCTATTGGTATAGATGTGCACATGAGTATGAACACTGTGAATTTATGAC